CCTGCTCTCATCTCCATGGCTTTTTTCTCTGTGTGGATATCCTCATGCAGTCTGCAATTGAAAGTCCCCAATGCTGTCCCTTGTGCTCCTAGTCTGGGTGGGCTGGGAGATGTCAGGAGAAACCGGAGCTAATTGCTGAGAGATGAGATGAGGACCGCACAAGCAGATGTCTTGGTGTGGTGCATTTGGGACCTTAGGAATAAAAATGAAAACTTCCGTTGTATCTCTCCAGCGTGTGGAGGTCATTGTTTGCGTAATCTGGTCAAAAGAAAAGCAGTTTGATGCACTCACCTTCAAAATTTTTTACATTTTAAGCCCATTTATTTATTATTTTTGAAACAGAATCTCACTTTGTAGTCCTGGAACTCCCTAATGTAGATGAGGCTAGCCTCAAACTTTGATCAAAGAGATCTTCCGGCCTCTACCTTACTAGTACTGGAATTAATGGTGTGTGCCGCTGTGCCTGATCTCCCATGCCTTTTTTTCTAAAGATAATACATGGACATTGTTTAAAACCACTAACAACCCAAGCGGTGCAGAGTGCAAACCATCCATTCCTAACTTCCCATTCCAGGCTCCCAGTGCAACCAATGAAGAAAATTCACACGTTGCTTTCTAACAAGAGCTTACATATCTCTATAAGCAAAATGGGGATAGCCTTTCCTCTCCCCCATTTTTATCAGACATATAACATGCTAAACATACATATGTATATAGAAACAGTTGTATTTACATGAATATATTTACTATAACATGTTAAAATACTGTATGAACAATAAAAGCACTTTTCTAGTTATTTGATGGCTGAAGAGTACCCCACTTTTTACACTACTGTTTACCTAACCCAATTTGTTTTTACAGTATTGTTTACATAACTCTATTGTTTACATAATTCCTTATTATTGATATTTAGATAGTTTTAGAACTTATAACAGGGTGCTACAATGAATATGCCAACACACACACACACACACACACACACTTCAGGGTATAAGAATACATGCTTCATAATTTTCATGACTAATGCTAGATTGTCTTCCAAATGGGTCTTAATTCCTCCATCCTGGACACATACCTGTTCACACCCCGCATCTATGGTGAATAGGCCATGCCAAGGAACTTGCTTAAGACATTGTTGGTAAGCCCTGGCAAAGCTTACCTGCTGACATTGTTTTTTTTTTAGAAAGAAAGGCTTCCCTGCCCTACTTGAGAATGCTGAAGGATGCCGGTGCCTCATCTTCAGGGTGTCATGTAAACTGATTGGTGGCACATCCCTCCTGTGTACACCAGCTGTGCTGCAGGAGTAGATGGCTCAGGACCCTGTAAAAGTGGCTGTGCAGCTCCCGACTCACCACACACAGATGAGTGATGGTGTCTCTTCTTATTTTAAAGCAAATTCCAGATACTATGACATTTACCCCAATGTATTTCATTATGCCTCTCTGAGAAATTATTATCATGTTCCCAACTGTGACTATAATGTCATTATCACAGTTAACAAAATTATCTGTAATTCTTAGGATTATCTACTGAATATAGCTGAAATTTCACAATCGATTAAAAATACGCTTAAAACTATTTGGTTCAAATTGGTGTCTGGAACACATTTGGTTGCCTCTTACCTAAAGCCCCCTCCCCCCCCCACTCTTTATTCTCTCCTACTGGCTTACTGAAAAGCCAAGTTCTGGGTCCTACAGTGTCTCCCACTATGGATTTGCCTGTTTGCTTTGGTGTCATTTAGCTTGTTCTATGACTTCTTCCTCAGTAATGTGGATGTTAGCATGGAAGACCTGATTTGGTCCAGGTTGAGGGTTAGTGTTTGGAATGTGGCATTGGGAGCTTTCCCGAGGGAGGGATGTGTTTAAAGGGATGTCTTCCTGAAGCAGGACTGAGGCAGCCATCTCGCTTGGGGCTTACTCTGGCATCTTTCTGTCCCTCTTTTTGTTGTTGTTTATCGAGCCTCCTCTCTTCCCTTCTAAATCACCCTTTCCGGAACCATGGCAGCTGTTTAAATTCTGAGCTCAACCACAGTGTAGCTTATGAGTTAGTTATGACTTAGGCAAGTCCTGGCAAGCTTACTGCTCACGCGCTCGGTGCCTGTCCACCCTCTTGGTTCCAGCCACTTAACTCTTTTCTGTAGGGCAGCCTTGTTCAGGAGAACTTTCTACGCCATGGAAGTATTTCACACCTGCACCTGCCAATGCTGAGTATTTGAAATACGGCTAGAATGAGTGAGAAATTGAACTTGGAATTGAATTTTTTGTTTTGTTTTGTTTTTCGAGACAGGGTTTCTCTGTGTAGCTCTGTAGACCAGGCTGGCCTCGAACTCACACACAGAGATCCGCCTGCCTCTGCCTCCCGAGTGCTGGGATTAAAGGCGTGTGCCACCACCGTCTGGCTCGTTCAGTTAAATTTAAACAGCCCTATGTGGTTAGTGGCTACCATCTTGCAAAGCACAGCTCTAGAGTCACTTTCAAATGAGCCACAGCTCTTTCCCACGTCTCTGAAACTTAACTGCTGCTATTTTAAAAGGGGATTTTTAAAAGTCATATTTAATATATTTGGGTAGTGAGACTGACTTTTCCTGAGCTGCTGCCACATTTGCTGAGTGGTCCAGTGATTAGTCACACCAAATCCCCTGGGGACCCAGAAACAGTACCAAGAGTTGATGGGTGCAGGAAGCTTCTCCCTGTAACCAGTTGATAAAGAGTTGGTGATGAATCAGCAGATGCCAAGGGGTGTGCTGGGATAGACATGCCACTGTTCAGTGGATACATGAGTGTAGCTTTGCCCCAAAAGAATCTTAGGTGTTATTGTTTTTCTTTTCAAGACACATATGCTACATAACTAATGTCCATCATGGTGGAAATGTGAGCATTGGGCCTATGAGGTGGCTCAGGAGGTAAGAGAGCTTGTTGCTAAGCTTGACAGCTTGAGTTCAATGCCTGGGACCTACGTAATGGAAGGAAAGAACCATCTCCTACAAGTTGTCCACACCCTTACCCTGTACCCCACACGAAGAAAAATGATGAAAAACTTTTTAATAAAATTGTGAATTTAGGTGATATGTCTGATGTCTTCTAAGAAAGTTTCTGCCAGAACTTCTTAAAGTACTGAACTGGGTGGATAAACAGATGTGTGGATGATTAGAACATGCTCCCTACCCAGAGGAAACTTGCAATCTAGCCAAAGGCTATCATGCATTGGGTACCGATTACATGTTAAGTATCTCATGATTTTTATTTGGCTCTTAACCTAACCTACAAAGTAAGGCATTATTGGTCCCAGTTTATAGACAAGGAGATGGTAGTCTTGAAGGTTAAATAATATATTAGTGCAAAGTCATCCATTTAATGGCAAAGCCAGGTCTTACCCAGGTCCCCATTCCAAGTCTCCAAAGTGATGGTAGTAGCTCATCTGACCTTCAGCACACATGGGGCCTACCTCATTGCTTTGTCACCTTTCTGTTCCTAGTCCTCAATGGCTTCTTCTCTCCCTGCAGAGTGAAAGGCGGGATCTCTGCAGGCTGAAGAACCTGTGCCCTCCCTTTGTGACATTACTTCACTACCCTCTGCTCAGACCACACTGGCCTCCTCCTACTTTCGGGACTCTTTGCTGACTGATCCTCTTAAATAAAACACAGAAAAACCCCAACAAACATGCTTGGAGCTGTAGAGATGGCTCAGCAGTTAAGAGCACTGGTTGCTCTTCCGGAGGACCTGGGTTCAATTCCCAGTACCCACATGGTGGCTAACAACTATCTGTAACTCTAGTTTCAAGGGATCCAGTGCCCACTTCTGGCTTCTGTGAGCTCAAGGCATACATATGGTGCCCAGACATCCATGCAGATAAAAGACCCACACACATAAAATGAGTAAATTAAGACAACAGACATGTTTCATCCGGAACCTAAATGAGTGTCATAGGTTTCTGAATTGGTGTCACTCTCCTTGGGAAAAAAACTGCCACCAGCCTGCATTCTCCTTCTCCTCTTATTTTACTGACCACATTCAACTGTATGCAATGATTATTAGTCCAAGTTTATGGATGAGGCTACCATCTACCCCCCACCCCAAGCAATGCACCCCCCATGCAGTGTGTGTTCCATGAGGGAGGATTTCTTTCCCTGATCTACTCTTCCCCATAACCCATTGTGTTCACTGCTATTTTTCTAAACCCCAAAGAGTATATAGGCGATCAGTAAATGTTTGTTGACTGAAGATGAGTGACACTCAGGTGTCTAATTGCCAGACTACAGAATACTGATTCACACCTGCTTCTATTTTATATGTAAACACATACATGCTTGTCTGTCCCAGTGAACTTGTCAGGGTTACTTTAAAGTGCATGACTCTGAAGAACCACAGAGGAGCCAGAGAAACCCTTCAAATATATGTTAAGGAGACAGTGCCTTGGTTTCAAGGTCACTCTTGGCATGGCGCTAGGGAAGCTGTTACCTGTGTTTCTGGTAGAGTCAGGTCTGGTCGGAAGTTATCGAAACAAGCTCTCTTTCACATGTGAGAACACTGCCCCAGAATTGAAGTGTGGCTGTCAGTGAGTTTCTGGTGACTTTGTCTCCTGCCCAAACAAATACACTATACAAAGATGGAGTCATGAGAGGATAAGGGAATATATTCTCTCACCTAGTTATACTTATAGAGTTCACATATACTGGCTTTCTCTAAGTGCCCTGGCTGTCCTGGAACTCTCTCTCTCTGTAGACCAAGCTAGCCTCGGAGCCACAGAGGTGCACTGCCTCTGCCTTCCCAGTGCTAGAATTAAAGGTGTGCACCACCACTGCCCAGCTAGACAATTTTATGATTGGCTGTAGTTCCAGTGGTGGGTTTTTCAGAATGGGGTGTGCTTGTAGATGGTGCATGAATAGGAAAGAATGTGACTTTAGGGTTAAACTACGGCTCTTATTATCCTGGCATTTGGAATACTTAATAGACATTATATTTCTTCTTCTTTTCTTTCTTTCTTTTTTTGAAAAATGAAAGGTTGTTCTTGGTGAGAATTTTACTTCAAATTGTCCAGAGGTCATCTATGAAATTAAAGAAGAAACGCCTGTGTTTTACAAGCTTGTTCCTCACCCCATGAAGGATATCTACATTTACCTAACAGCTGGGAAAGAGGTAGGTAAAGATGCTAGTCATTGCTTCTGACATATGAACAGGACTTATTTCATGGATGTCACCGTCTGGTGGCAAAGCTTTTACTTTGAGTCACCAGGTTGAAACACCGCTGCAGGCTTTGAGGAGGCCTCCAGTGGGTCATGGGCATGGAATTAAAATTCGTACTGACTGTCACCAGTAACTAAGCAAGAAATATTACCCATGTAGACAATTTTATTATTGGCTATATTTCCAGTGCCAGATTTTTCAGAGGTGGGGAGTGTGCTTGCAAATGGGCACATAATCAGCAAAGTAACTGAATTTACACATTTATTGTGTGGGCACTGAATGGTTAGATGCATTTATGAGTATGCCCAATGGGACTGGCTTTGGAACTTGGGGTTAGTATCAGGCCACGGTCTCATACACATTCATGAGCCAAGAAATCTATGTCACTCACCTCTCTATACACACACTCTCTCAATTTATCCAGATGTCTTAGTTTTTCTTGATTCTGCTTACTGAAATAAAAACAATACCTTTCAACATCTCTATCTTTAAGAAAAGGAAACAATTTTTTAAATTGACTCTTACAATATGTGAGTCATCATCATTCTTTGTATGGTTTCTCTGTATATGCACTGACTGTTGTATGCACATACACATGTAAAGAATATTAATGAAATGTGTTAATGAAAGTATTACTCAATTTATATATGAAAAGTTTAAGACTTAGAAAGGTTAAGTAGTTCCAGAAGATATATATATATACATATATATATGCATGTATATGTATATGTTTGTGCATGTGTATATATATATGTTTGCATATATGTACATAAAAGGTATGTATATGCATGTATATACAGACACGATGTGGGTATGTATACACATGTAATGCATATATGCACTTATAATAATGTGTGTATGCATACATATATAATGTATGTATCAATTATATAATACCTATATACATATATGTCTTGTGTATCTTTGAGAGAGCTAGAACTCAAACTCAGCTCTAATTCTGAAACCCATGCAAAATGACATCAAATTCCAAACTTGTGAAAGACAGAATATCCTGGCCTGGTAGTTTTGACCAATGACTCTTTGAACACACTAAGTATGAAGAAGGTAAATGAGGCTTAGATAATTATGTAAAGGATGTCCCAGGTGCCCTTACCCTCCCTGCCATTTCTCATTTTTTTCTCTTTCAGCCATTCTCAGGAGGAGAGCAATGACAGTTCTACATGTGCTTTTTGAGTCACAGGGTAGGGGCGACAGTATCAAGTATTCTTAGAAAGGCCATATTGCTCTTTGCAGTTTGAAAAGCCAGTTATATCCAATGATCACATTTCAATGGTCACCTCTGAATCTCCCACAGCCTTCTTCACCTTCTATGCAGGCTTGCTTAGACATTCAAGCACTGTTATGTCTCTTCCCCGGGATCTCATATTTCTAAGACTTTTGTCTATTCAACAAACTGTGTTTATTAAGTAACCACTCCCATTCCCAAGCTTTATTTATCAAGGACATCTCAAAGCTGCCAGCCAGAGTACTGCCTGTGCTGCCATGCAGAGCTGATAAAATTCCAAGCTCCCAAAGCAAAGACACTGGAAGTCTGGCTTAATCTGTGCATGTTTTTCCATTTTGCTTTTTGAAATATTGCAGGTAGCTCATAAATTCCCATCAATACCCACAAAGACACTTGCAGAACTCTAAAACCCAGTGCTGTAAGCTGAAGACCACTGTGAATGGACCAGTAGTTCACAGATGTTCACTTCCTAGAAAATAAAGACCTCCAATCCGTAGTCACTTAAGTCTGAAGACCTTAGGGACAGTCCTCAAAGGAGTGTCAAAATTTATTGTCTCTATATTTTCACTTTGGCATTATTGTAAGAGGTTCTATTGCTTAGCCAACCATAGTAGAGCACCCTTGGACTCATAGTAAGTAGGAGGCAGAGGCAGGAGGATGACAAATTAAAACCTGGGCTAGATAGTGAGACCCTGTCTCCGAAAAAAAACTAAAACAAAAACCCTGCTAGTTGACTGTGGCTGTGCAAGTATGATTACCAGAGAGACCAAATACAAAGAATTTCCTTCCTAACCCTAGAAAGGTATTATTAATTTTAAAAGCCATGAGAAATCTATAAAATGTTATCAACATGTGACCATTAAACAAAACCTATGCAGAGATATGTATTGATGAGGAATAGTTCCATAGTGTATTAATTAGAAAGTAAGTCTAACGTAATTGTTGTAGTATCTTATCTTTTACACAGATTCATGTTTGTACTTGAATACACTAAGTGGTCATTCTTGAAGAGTATTCTAGATTGAAGGTTCTCAGTGAGAGGGGTTCTATGATCCATTGTTATTTTTATGTCTCTACAGAATCATGGTGCTGGATACAATCAAAGGCTCACACAAGCCTGTGTTAAGGAAAGTTACTCTTTCAGCCTAGGGGTGCATGTTAGCTGGACCATGGCAGCATTTTCTCCCATAATAGCAGTAGCTAGTACTCAGGACACAAATTATTTAGTATGCTTCAGACTATGCTTGTAATAACCCCTCAAAGTCGTTTGTACTAGTGCCGTTTTTTTTTTACAGGCGACGAAACAAGGTTAGAGAGATTATGTGACACTTAATAAAATCCCTTAGAATTAAAAAAGATGTTTTGTGAGCTACAAGGAAATAAATATCCACCTTCTGGTTAATTCTGGCTCAGACTTGTGGTCTGCCGGCTGTGTCTGTCAGCAGCACAGAGGGCTGTGAAACGAGAGAGCACAGTGGTCCTGCATGAAGTCAACCTACAACTGAAGGCTCCTCCTTGGAACATGGCCCGTTTTCACCACAAACTCCTTCTAGAACTCTCTATTTCCCTATTTGTACTTCCAGCATGCACAGCTTCCTGGGATAATGAGTTCCACAAGTTTTCTCACTACCTGCTGTGCCTTCAGAGAATGTGCCAAGCAACACTCGGGCACTGCCTCCACTTGCTGTCTGGATCTGCCCTGCACTGTTGACTGATGAATGGGAATGATCCTAGGACAGGGGATGATTTTAATCCCCCTCTCCATCTCTTTTTGCTTGTTTTAATTTTTTTCCTTTTCTAAAGTGCTGGGAATTGAACCCAGCACCTTGAGTATGCTAGACAAGTATGTAACTATTAAGCTACACCCTCAGCCCTGTCTCCTCCTGCTGCTTTTATCGCAACCCCAATGGGATGGGTGTGAGTCATCGAGCCAGGAGCTGAAGAGATGGAGGTGCCCTAATACCACTTCATCTCTGCATCCCCTGCCAAACGTATGCTGACCAACTGCTTTACCTGGTACTCGTTTCCCATGGTGCCACTGACTATACTGACTGTCCCCGTATGAAAATCAGGTGACCTGGCTCCATGATCCCTGTGGGAATAATTATCCACAGATCAGAAACTTGACTGTGGTAGGTTCTTAGTAGCACAGTCTCCAAGACCACACCCCAGACTCACAGAAAGAGTCTCAGCCCACGGTGGGGGGGGGGTCTGGGGATATAATTGTCTCTTATCTTCTAGGGATTATTTCCACAAAGCCCTTGGGATACCAACCAAAATCTGTGGATGCTGGCATCTCTCAAATATTTGCATGTAGCCTTACACATTCTCCCATAAACATTAAGTTATCTTTAGATTAGCTATGATGCCTGCCTATGACACAATACAGTGCTAACACTAGAGAAATCATTCTACCGTGCTGTTTAGGGAATGAGGGAATGACCATGCACCGCACAAGTATAGACACCATGTTTTTTTCAGATGTTTTTGGTGTGCTCTTGGTTGGATTTGTGGGCTCAGGAGCCACTGGGTTGAATAGGGGTGGCCTTCTGTACTGTGCAAAGCTTCCCAGGTGGTTCTCGCACACTGCATCCTGTCCTAGAACTTGAGACCTGCCTTTGGATGCCACTATGGAGACATTCGGGGCTCAAGTTCATTAAGGACTCCATGTGGCCCTTCATCAGATAAGGTGTTGTAGGTGCCTCCCAGTGCTGCTTCTGCTTCCGTCTGAACTGATGTCCTCTTTATTTTCAGGTGAGAAGAATTCGTGTTGCAAACTGCAGTAAACGTAAATCCTGTTCCGAGTGCTTAGCAGCAGCAGACCCCCACTGCGGCTGGTGCCTCCCGCTACAAAGGTATTTCCTGAATTCTTTCTCACCACCTCACAGTTTCCAGAAAGTGTCATGCAGCTGAACACTTGTTGCCCTACTTTAATGATCCATTCCCATGCTGCGGGGAAGCAGAGCTCTCCAGGACTGAAATACATGGTGTAACCGTTATTCATTCTTAAGGATTGTCTTTGCCATGTCAGTGACATCCAGTCATTTAACCCAGGCCTCTCAGGGCCACCCAGTCTGGGGGCGAGGGGGGACAGGAATGTGACACGAGAAGGGAGAGGCTAGTGTAGGTGGATTTGCTTTTTACTTCCGGCTAAGTTCATCAAGACTTCAGAGCGAGCCAAAAGGTTCTCCCTTAGAGAAGATGAAAGAATAGGGATGTTTGAAAAATTTCAAATGAACCCTCACCATGCCGTGTATTCTGCTGGCTCTGTGGAAGCCTTGTTATTGATGGCATTGTCTCCTTGCACGCCATATAGCCGTGGGCCTGATGTACAATCTCAGTCTCCAGGCAGAATCTGCCCAGCCTGGTCTTGAATTACGATGTACACGACCCATCTAGGCTCAGGGGCGACTTGTAGCGGCTTCCTCTCCATGGCAGTTCTTAGCATCGCTGGGACCAGCCTGGTTGGATTCACTGTTGCCATGGTAACCCAGTACTCCAGCTCTCGCTATAGAAGCAAGGAGGAAAGAGCCTTCTCTGCTGCTGCAGCTCAGGCAGGAATGAGAGGGGGGGAAAACAAGCCACAGAACCGTGGCTGTAAGATTGGTGCTTTCAGTTTTAAAAGGTGGACACACATTCAAAAACAACAACCAGAACAGCAGTGCAGGTGGAGAGGCTGAGGGCAGAGCAAAGGGGCAGCTGGGGGAAGAGCGGAGATGGAGAAGTGAATTAGAAAGCTAATCGGGGGAGCAGGAGGCATGAATGGAGAAGGGGTGGCTGTGATGTTAGGGAGAGGCTCAGGAAACAAACTGGAAACATGGAGATGGCATGAATTAAGAGTTCGCGGAGGAAGTCACAATCCGAGCTGCCGTAAGATGAGCAGCCGCCCTTCTCTGCTGCACCTCCTCGCCGGGCTCTTTCCCTCAGAGTCCTTGGCAGACAAAAGAAGCAGGCCAAGAAAATTCTCATGAATAATTGTAAGTGGGTAGGAGCCGTTTCTTCTCGTCACAAGCGCAAGAGTAGACTTTAAGAAATTAACTGATCACGGCCAGCATTGTACGGTTGCTGTAGTTTTTTTAGATCCATTCCATTTATGCAGCTTCTCTGTGTGTCTGTGGAGAGCTCTGGGCAGCAGGAGCCTAATCATGGGTGGCTGGGGACAGTGGCGGTGATTAAGAGCTGCATGTAGGTAGTGCATACTTGTTTAGCAAGCCTGGGTCACGAGCTGATGGGAGATGCCCAAGCTGGTCATAGAATTTTGTGCTTGGCTGTATTCTGACGGTACTTATAGAAGCCTTGAGGTCAGAGCAGGAGGGAGTGCAAACTAAAGACAGGTGTACAAGAGCAGAGCACGGGAGGGCTGGGCTGCCGGAGCACTGCGGGGCTGCTGGAGCACTGGGGGACTGCTGGAGCACTGCGAAGATGCTGGAGCACGGGAGGTCTGCTGGAGCACTGCGGGGCTGCTGGAGCACTGCGAAGATGCTGGAGCACGGGAGGGCTGCTGGAGCACTGCAGGGCTGCTGGAGCACGGGAGGGCTGCTGGAGCACTGCAGGGCTGCTGGAGCACGGGAGGGCTGGGCTGCCAGAGCACTGCGGGGCTGCTGGAGCACGGGAGGGCTGCTGGAGCACGGGAGGACTGCTGGAGCACGGGAGGGCTGCTGGAGCACTGCAGGGCTGCTGGAGCACGGGAGGGCTGCTGGAGCACGGGAGGGCTGCTGGAGCACTGCGAAGATGCTGGAGCACTGCGGGGCTGCTGGAGCACTGCGGGGCTGCTGGAGCACGGGAGGGCTGCTGGAGCACTGTGGGGCTGCTGGAGCATGGGAGGGCTGCTGGAGCACTGCGGGGCTGCTGGAGCACGGGAGGGCTGCTGGAGCACTGCGAAGATGCTGGAGCACGGGAGGGCTGCTGGAGCACTGCGGGGCTGCTGGAGCACGGGAGGGCTGCTGGAGCACTGCGAAGATGCTGGAGCACGGGAGGGCTGCTGGAGCACTGCGGGGCTGCTGGAGCACGGGAGGGCTGCTGGAGCACTGGAGGACTGCTGGAGCACTGCGAAGATGCTGGAGCACGGGAGGGTTGTGATGTTTATGGTCAGGGAGAAGCAGACTGTGGGGGAAACAATGATGTATCAGAAAGAAGAGAGGAAGCACTTAAGGGAGGATTCTGTTGCCAGACAAGGAAAAGGAAGAGAGAGCCGCGTACCGTGTCGGTCCCTGCCAAGGAGGTCAAAGGGAGAAATGAGTCACCAACTTAGCACATGGCAATCAGTGACTGTGACAGCGCCCTGTGCTTGGAGTGGTGCTGGAGCTGCAAAAGACAATGCGCGCTGAGCAGGACGGCTCCTCAGGGTGTTCTTAAGGATGGCAGAGGAGAGAGGAGGCGGATTCCGGAGCAGAGGCTAGAGTCTGCAGAGTTTAGGGTTCTAGAAGTACGTTTTTCATTACATTTTAATTGGAGCGGGGCGATGCATGTTTCATAGCACATGTGTAGAGGTCAGAGGACACTTCTACCATATGGGTCTCAGGGACCAAACTCAGGTTTCAAGTCTGGCAGGTAAAAGTACTTGCCAAGTCAACTCACCAGTTCAAGCTTAGGGTTTTCTTTAAGATGCATAAAATACTGGTGTCTTGGCTGGAGAGATGATGGCTCAGTCAGCCTGGAAAGCGCCTTCCATGAAAGCTCTAGCGTCTGAGTTTGGATCTCTGGCACCTACATAAAAAGTCAGCCATGGTAGTGAGTACCTGTGATCCTAATGCTGGAAAAGCAGAGACAGGAGGATTCCTGCAAGTCCATTGGTCAGCTCTAAGTTCAATGAAAGACCACACACACACACACTCACACACACTTAAGCAAGTGCACACACGCAAGAGTGCATGCACTCACACTGGGACACAGACACACATAAACACACACACACACACACACCACACCAGTGCTTTTCTATGTGATTGAGAAAATTCCAATAGAAGGGAAGAGAGCGAGGGTTGTGGGTGGCACGCTGACATGACAGGAAATGTGACCTAATACAACAGCGGGGAAGGTGGCCTCAGACCTGGCTGGAAAGGAAGCTGCTGATCTGGATCTCAGAGCTAGTAGGTGTAGAAAGATGCTCAGAGTCTGTTCATATTGCTCTGCACATCCTCCGTGACCTCAGACCAGTGGAAGCAAGGTGTTGGGATGGATCTGTGGAGAGGGAGCCCTGGGGACTTGGGAAGGAGGAGAGTAGGAAGCATGCAGGAACTCAGGCAAAGGTCAAGGAAGACAGAGTCTCGTTGTCTGGCAACATTAGAGTCCACCTGAGGCTGATGGTCTTGCCTTTGAAACGGAAGCATTGTTTTGCCTTACTCAAGTCTAGTCTAGCTCCGGAGCTGTCACTGTAGGCAGGGGAAAGCTCAGTTTAGCCAGAGTTTGGGGACTCGGGACGACTGGTGTCAGCACCACGGTAGACATTGATGTATATAATGAGGGACTCCTGTGTGTGAAGGAGGGACATACAATGAGGGACTCCTGTGTGTGAAGGAGGGACACACGTATGAGACAGCGGTAAGACCCAGGCACCGGGCCTTTCCACTGGAGAACTGGACTGTGTACAGCTTAAAGCCGAGGTGGCAGAGGTGTGGAGCTACTGGACATGATAAGGTCTACGGGATTATTATGTCATGGGGGTGGGGATGGAGAACAAGACCCCTGAGCAAAGAACAGTCAGGGACCGTGGTGGTCACGGGACTGCTAGATGAATGTCAGCCTCAGCCATCAAGAACGAGGGTGGGCCTGATGCTGAGGAGTGGGGGTTGAAGTAGTCAAGAAATAAAGGTTAAGTGGTGTGGGACACTGTAGGTGGTTCTGGAAGGAGGGGTCAAGGTGGCATCTGTGATAACGTGAGCCTCAGCTCTGAGAGGGGGCTAGAAGGAGAATCATGCCAACAAGGCAGTTAGGCCCAGGTGGACCACATATGGTAGGTCCCTTTAGAGGGACATGGGAAAGCCATGTCCCCGGGGGAGAGCAGTAAGCCAGGGGAAGGGGCTGTTGGAGAACTGGGTGAGGACCTCAGGCCATCTTTAACAGCTGGCTGTCAGGTCTCTTTCCTGCATCCCCTGCTTCTTCTCCTGCCCCCTTGTCCTTGCCAAGCACTCCCCAGTAGGAATGGCGCTTTGGAAATCGGCACCAGGTGATGTCCCCCAGATTAATTGTCTCCAGCGTCGCTCCCTCCTCCAGCTCAGCCGGATCCCCCCACAGCAGACACGGCATCCTGTGATTGTCAGCTCTCACCTCTCCCATGCCACCCTCTCGCTGGTCACCTTAGTCTAACTGACTGTCTTTCGGATTCAAGAATATTCCAGTAGTGTTCCTGCCCAGGGCCTTCCCCTGAATTTTGGATTTGTGCATGGTGGCACACTCTCCCCACACTAGCTCTTTCTCTGCTGTCTGGTCCTAGAATATAGATCTGTTTCTACCCGACGACCCAGTATCAGATAACCACCCCCTACCTATGATCACCTTCCTCTTGTGTTCTTCGTGGACCATCGCTGTAACTTTACTCCTCTGCCTCTCCCTTTATGCTGCCGTATACAGTGTGCTCCAAAAACATAGTAAACTGGTGAGGTAAGTTGAGTGACTGGCAGGGCTCCATGCCCTAGCAAACGTTCTGGGGTCGTGGCTGATGACCTACCATAGCCACATCAGATCACTTGGTTCCCAGCTGGCTTGGTGCTGGCCTAAGACAAAACGAAACCAAGCCTCAGATGTGTGACTCATGTTAAGCTCTCAGTACCATTCAAAATTAGGAATTCTAAAGGGGATGTTTTTGTATGATGGTGGAGCATCCCACTGTGTTTATTTTAAATGTCACAGATTTATT